GCACTGGGTGCCTCTTCGCCTTGTTTCAATGGAACACCAACAAAGAAACGCCACCTTTTTCGGGAGTCCCCCTATTTTGACACGTACCCACTGTAAGTCAACATGTACTGTAGTGTCATTTGCAGTGAAGGGGATGACAGTGAGTACACACTCACCAACGTACCGGTAACAAATAGATGCTACCAGCGTCTCATGTCAGGGGGACACATGGTGTCAAACGTATTATATTGCCCGGTAGGGTTTTAGGGGCTCCTCATTTAAATTTTGACAGCCCACATGAATCTCTGCATCGTCAGGCTATTTGAAGGAGAAGGGAGTTCCTGAGCCAAAGCGCGGCAAGTGCGAGGTACTCCAGCTGAACATAGGCGGGCCAGTGAGTGCTGTCTCTGCCAAAACGGGAAGCGGAGATTCCAACTGCTCTTCTCCTGTTGGTATCTTTTGATATCCTTGTAGGACTCTTTGCATATTTGAGAGGGGCCGGATCCATTAGAAGTTCGGCATCCAAACCGTGTCCTGAGAAGTGTTCGCTTTCGAGTTTCCTCGCTATGCGTTGAAAGCCAAAACTTCGGCTGCCCAAAATCCTTGCCACGAGTCTGATGCAGAAGCTGCTGCGCAGTGTGCCGCAGGTCTGTACTGCAACCAAGCATGCAGCCACTGCCACGTGGAGTCGTCCCCGCTTCGCAAGGAAATGATGTCCGAGGATCGGCTCGATCCTCTCTAGCTGTCTTCCAGTCGCAGGGTGTGGTTTGTTGGTCCTGCGGTGCTAGCTTTGCTGGGATTGATTCATGCAGGCTTGTCTTTTTGACCCCTTTTGGGGTCGTAAACGGGAGTCGAAAGGGAAACCACCTTGGGCTTCCCTTTTCAGACCACCACGCCCCTTTTTTTGGGACATGAGCTCACCCCTATTTGGGGACCAGCTGCAGGATGTCGTCGAGCGCTGCTTGCTCTTGCTGAAGAACACTCCCTCCATCAAGGTGCGCAAGCTTGTACCAGCCAAACATTCATTGTGTGTGAATGTCATCTTGGGTGCAAGGCTACATTATGGTTTTCTAATAGGGAGGCAGTCTGAAAACTGATTGGTATACAAACGCTCCCGCCGAAGGATCTCTTTCCAATTGAAAGTCATACCCAGATGTTTGTTTCTTAAAATGAGGATCTTCAATCTTGACCTGTTTCCTTTTTGCTTTCCTTTACTTAGATGATCTGGGACTTAGCTAAATGGCTAGTAACCCTGGTGAGGGACTCACAACCGGGTTACAGGGTTACTCGCCATTGAGCGATTTTCCTCCCAGCCCATCTGAGTGGCCGCCATGTTTGTTTCCCTTGAGACCCTGCCGAAAATGAAGGCCTCCGCCTGGAGAAATAGCTCCCCGCTTTCTAGGGGTAGCTTCCCCATTCTTTCCAGGCATCCGTCCCTTTCTACAAGACCCAAAACCCTTGGGAGACAGCTGGTTTTTGAAAAGAACCGTGGTTGAAAAGAATGGACCAGGAATTCAGCCCTAGACTCCTTGCACCTCCCGGAAACCAAACCAAACCGCGGGAGGTGCTGGATATCACCGGCGGCGCCCCGGAGCTGAACGCGGGGTTCCGGCGCTTGGTGCAGGGCGCAGCAGCGCTGCGAGCGCTTTGGCGCGGATTTGGTGACCTCAGAGAATGAGGGAATGAACCTGGGGGTCGGGCCCCTTAAAGGAAACCACAATTTGGATGTTTTTTTCCTTCTTCGTGTTTTTTCCTTCTTTTTTTTTGTTTGGGGGTCCTTCCATTTCTCAATCCCTGCATCTCTCGCACCAGCCAGAAAAAGATCCTTGGGGCGTGAAGCCAAAAGGACCTCATCCAGGATTTCTGGAAAGATGGACACCAAAAAGGCCACCCCAAAAGAACACCTTCGGACAAACAGAAGGGTTCCCCGAGTTTTTGGACACACCGGGTCAGGACTTCAGTTTCGATGACCAAGGGTTTTCCAGACGAGGGGCCACGATCTAAGGACTTTTCTATGGCACCCTGGGATTACGCCCTAGCACAACCGAATCCCAAATAACCAACATCCTGTGGATGGACGAAATCCATTTCGCACCACCCAACAAACCCTGGCATGATGATTCCCCTGTAAATACCAACCAACAATGGTTTCACATAGTTTCCAAGTGGTGCAGGTTTTTGTCCATCCACAGTAGCCAGGGCATATGCTAGAATTGGGTGATTCCCCAGTCCCAGATTTGACTAACCCAGTCAGGATTTCAGTTTTGATTTCCAAGGCAAACTTAAGCTGGGTTGGTGGTTTCCCCACGAGAAAAACGCCTGGGCTCAAGTCTACCTTTGGATCAAGATATGCAACCTTGGTCAGAGCGCTTTTGGAAGGGGGAGTACGGTTCTTTCCAATTTGGTTGGAGAATGCTTTTTGGGAATTTGTATGAGCAGTGTTCAATTTGCTTTCCCTTCTTTGTTTGGTAGCTGGATAGTACAGGACCAAATAGAACGCGAGAAGTAATCTGCCTTTGGATGTATGTCTGTTTGGGTATGAGCGATATCCACCGCGCGACATGCTCGGCGTAAAGATATGTGTTTATCTTTGCATGGGACCCCCTCAAAAAGGGTGGTCTGTGATTTGTTCTGTTTGACGCAACCAAAAACAGGCATCCACGAAAGCCACAGGCGTGTCTCAGTCGGGTGAATTGAACTGGCTCCCAACAAAATGTAGTCATTACGATGGATGCTACTTGGGTACGGCAGCTTGTTTCTGTCCACTTGAGGGTTTCTCAAATTGCCGCACCCCCATTGAGTTGTCAAAAGGGAGGTTAAACGGAAGCCAGCCATTGTCGTGTGTGTCTTTGTTTCGGTGACCCCCCAATGGCGGCTGTCCTTTTGGCTTTCCTTAAGACCACCAAAAAAAGGACCCTCAAACAAAGACCCACCCTTTTGAAAATCCAGTATTTTGAGAGACACCCGAGTGGCCACTCATTCGGCTGAGGAGGACCGCCCTCTCCGCATCATCGACCGCTGCAACCTCACGGCGGGCCGGTGGGAATCGAGCGGATGGACCGGATCGGAGCTGGGTGTGTCTTTGTTTAAGCTGGACCCCCCAAAATTTGCTGGTTTTGCTGTTGGCTGTCCTTTAAAACCAATCAAAAAGGAGGGTCCAAGCAAACAGACACACCCTTCTGGCCTTTATCACCAGATTCCACTCTACTTGTGCCATACAGCTTTGGGCCGGAAGGTGTCCCTTCACTCTTTTTATTTTCTCGATCACATCGGACAGAGAAAACCAACGAAACCAGGCGAGGTGGGTGGTTTTTGATTTACCCTAAAATCGGCTTCAGGGAGGCCAAGGACGCTCACATGGGGCTATATGTGACAAACACTTTGTCTTCTGGCCGACTCTGCCAGGGCCACTCTTGTGCTTCCTGATGGCCAACCTGATAACTTCACAGCATAGGTTCGACCCGGACCCGATTCGGTTCTCTTGGGGAAACCCAAAGAAGTTTTTGTTGGTTCAGACAATGGGTGAAACAAAGGGCTCGCCAAACCCTGGCCGGGCCACTGGTTCGCGCATGCGGTGAGCCCAAACGAAGAACCCAACGAGACAACCTCAAGTGTGTTGCAAAATGCTTTCCACTGCCCAACCAACGTAACTACTATACAAAGGGTATATTCAGGATATACCCCGGCTTTCCCGGGGTGCATCGAGTTGTAAATGTGGGTGGGTCTTCAAACAGGGTGGCCCGCACCATCGGCTTTGGGATTTGAAGCCCCGGCTGACCGGAAGCCACCCATCCAAGGAAGCTGAAGGCAGGCCCTTGGGAAGCCGATCCCGAACGTCGGCTTTTCCACTGGGATGAGCAGGCAGCCCCCCTGGTGTAGCCCTGTTCAACGGCTGTTTTCAGAGGCTGTGTTCAAACCCCGAACGCGGCCCGAATGGGAAGCCCCCGAGAGCCGAGCTGAGCCGAGAGCCCCCCAGGTTTTTTTGGGGCTTCGGAGCCGATGGCAGGTCTTGCTGGAGCCGGGCCAAGAGTCGCTGCCCAGCTTCCTGGCGGAGCACCGCGTGGATGTCGTGGCCTCGCTGCCCAGCTACGAGCCCTCCCAAACCGACAGGCCAGCCGCTCCGGAGCCAGGGGGAGATGGGGAGATGGGGAGATGGACCCTGGTCACCCCCTCCCCCCAAAAGGGGGGGGGGAGGGTTCGTTTCCTTCTAAGTTTCCCAAAAAGCGGAAACGGGTACTCTCAAGAACACATGCATATGTGAGTATCAAGTTATGGTGCGTTTGTGGTTCGGGACATGGGGAGCACCAAGTTTAGCCGCAAAAGCCAGGAGATGAAAGCAAATGTCCACTTTGTCCCGTGTGGACACTGCATGTTTTGACCATGGCTCCCTAGCTCACGTCGTGTTTCCCAGCCTGAAAAGCCATGCCTGTCGGCCGGGTTTCGTGGATTTCCAATTCTAACCAAAAACGAGTTCCTGGTGCCTACCCACTTCATCCTTCCAACCATGATCCATCCCTCCAGCCGCCCAGCCCTCCATCCGTCCTTCCTTGAGTCACTGACAAATTGCACTTGTCGCCCAACCAGATTTATTGTTTGCGGTGCCAGTCTCAAGGTAACGCGCTATTTTTGGCCACATGGCGGGATTGCCATACGGTCAAAGCACTTTGCAGGTCACACGCAGCATAAGTTCTCCGGATATGGGTGTGTCTTTTTCTGAGTGGGCCCCCTTTCGGTTGGTTTTGCAGGGAAGCCACAGGGACAAACACCATTTTGAGGCGTCCAACCAACAAGCAAGACACACTGATAGCAATTTTGGGTAAGACTTGGCACAAACCCAACAGATCCGCAAGAGACGGCGGAGGGCGCTCTTGATGGTCCTTTTCTCGGTCTCCTTGCTGCTTTGGACTTATCCGTCTTGAATCGCGTAGGAAACGGTTTGGATGCGACTTTTGTGGATCCACGCCAGGATTGCAAAAAGAGTACTACGAGAGTATTAAAAGAGGAACAACTGATAAAACGAC